TTAATTTTGCATCTAGGACAGTCCGTTTCAGATGCAAAATTAACACACCAAGAGTGCATTCAGAACGGCCCGTTCTGATTCCAGGTGTTTTCACAAAATTTGGCGTGGTACCCACGTATGCATCTACGTGGCATCCACGTGACCAACAGTTAACTCCGTTTAAATAATTTGGACGGAAGTCCCAAATTGAAACCAATTAACTTATGAGAGACCAAATTGAGACCAAAAATAAAAGTGAGACTAAATTGAAACAAACAATTATTATAAGGGACTAAAATAGGTTTTTAGCCTAAAATTAATTAATAAACTAGTTGATAAATGTAAAATAACAAAAAAAAATTGTTTGAGATAAAAAGATTTCAAATAAATTTAAACACACCTATCTACTAATATTTCATGTAAGTCGTAAGACATATTAGTAACGTCTTTAATTTTTTTTATTTAAGTATTTAATCTGTTTATTTAATTATTAATGTTTATAAAATATGTCGTAACGTAATCAAATTAAAAAAAATACACACATATATAAATATTAATATAATATTTAATGTTTTTAATGCAATATTTTATGAAACGAATAAACTAAAATTTTTCTTAAATAGTATCGTTAAATTTAAACTATCTTATAATTATATATTTATTTGTTGTGGTAATATCTTACAAACAATTTAAAAGAAATACATTTAAATTGACTAGATTCAATGGTCCATATAAATTTGTGTGAATATTTTCAAAGTCGATAATACATAAATAACTTAAATTTAATATTTTGCTACTATAGTTATTTGTTGTGATAATAATATTTTGCTACTATATTGCTCTCAATACATGGCTATTGCAAATTCAACAAGAAGCTCTTTTTTTAGTGATTGTTTATCTTTCAATTAACATGAGGTTTTGTATTTATTTAACAAGAATAAATTTTAAGATTAACTATTAAAAGTTGTATTACTTTTACTTTTGTTTATATAAACTTTATCAGTTTTTTGGTTATCTTTTTTATTTAATTTTGTAACTTTGAATGTTTGCTAAAAATTTACAAAACCCTTTTAAATATTACACATAAGACCTTTTCAAACCTTATAAATTCTCATGATATAAATTCATTAAATATACAAAATATTGATTATGAAAATAGTCTTTTAAAAAAATATAATTCATTACATTTCTATAATCTATATAATCTTTTAAAGTTTACAATCTTTTTATATAAAAAATAGTCTTTTAAAATTTGAATCCAATAAATTTCCTAAATTTAATATATGTGATCATACACTAGTATTAATATGAAATTATGTTTATAATAAAAAAATATATTTTTGGCATATTTTGATTAATTTATTAAAGTCTAATTTTAGTTTATTTTGATGATTTAATTTATACTTGTTTAGATATATATATACATTTTTTGAAATTGTATTGCGAAAATAAAAAAAATCATCATAGTTCAAACTGATTTAAATTAAATTAGATTTACATTTTAAATCAAACCAATTAAATGACTTCATGAAAAAAACTAATGAAAATTTTCATATATTTGATTAAATATGATTCACAGATATCCAATTTAATGTTAGCTCTTACTTTTTTGTCAAAAGAACTTGTTCGTAATGGGCTTGTTATCCAATAATCAAACACTCAACCCGAAACCAGCCACAGGCTATTTAGACCCGGCAAGGGTTTCTAGTTTCTACTCTGCCTCTGGGGCAGTTATATTATATACACAACTTTAAAGTTTAAAGGTGCGAATACATTTTTTATATGAGAATCAAATAATCATTTTCAATAGTCAAATTAAAATAAAAAAATCATGATTAAAATATTTATTAAATATATCGTGTTCTCCACCACAATACTTTGAAATACTTTATATATTAGGTAAAATTTATTATAAAATCACTAAATTTTCTGGCTTCTACTTTTTATTTAATACAAATTCATAAATTTATAATTCAGTATATTTTAACCAATAATAAATAACATACTAAAAAGAATGTGAGACATAAAGTACCGGTGTAGAGATTAATTGGTATAAAGTTAAAATTTTACCAGAATGTATAGTTGCATTAAATATTAAGCAAAAAATTTATCGTAATCCTAGTGAGCATAATTAGCCCTCATCAAAAGTAATTGTGATCTCCAAAAAAAAGAAAGAGAAAATAAAAACGAAAACGAATAATACTAAAATCACGTTTAAAAAATATAAAAGTTAAAGTAAATTTTAGTAAGTAGGAATTCAATATTTCTAAATGAATGTCTAATTCTACGTTAAAAGAAGAATGATTAAGTGCAGTGTTAGTGTTTCTTGCTAAAAAACATTTTGGGGGCTCAAGATGGTAAGTGAAGAACTCGATTGACATCAAATTGGCACTCAACCAAAAACTAATGTCTTCAATCTGTAGTTAACCTCAAAATAAGTTCTTTCACAATCATCAATAAATCAACAATTTAAAGGAATTTACAATGATGTTTCATAAACAATGTTAGAGAACAAAACAAGTTAAACATTTTCATCCGAGGCAACTGATATTATAGACCTACTGGATCTTCCAGAAGGATCTTTCTCCAGATAACGAGTAACTAAAGCCTTTTCAGAAACATCTACATCCACAGAATGAGTAACTAAAGCCTTTTCTGAAGCATCTTTCTCCAGAGAATGAGTAACTAAAGCCTTAACAATCTGACGAAACTTCCTTCTATAAGTTGGCAGCTTTGATACACCTCTTATCATACCAATCATCCTGACAAAATGTATTCATCATTGCACACCCATCAGTCAAATTCTTTTAAGAATTTAATTGAAACACATTGCTAGTATAACGATTTTTTTAATATTGTAATTTAATAATAGATTGTGATATGTAGTTAGAGTCTATTTAGATACAAATTAGTGGTGTTTTTAAGAATTTTTTTTTATTGAAAATAAATAGTTATTTTTAATATAGAAACTTTAAAAAAATACTTCAACTTGTATTCAAACATACTTTTAGATTGTTGTAATTTAGAATGAGGAGAAAAAAATCCTATATATAACCTATCTATGCTCAAAGTATTAAGGGAGTCTATCACAATTCATCGAGTAAGGGACATAAGTTAGTTGTAAATACCTTTAGTATCGTACTCGATTTCTATGGATAAAAAATATACTCTAGAGTGTAAACAGTCTCACAAATGTCAAGCCACTGAAGATTTCAATCACACAATAAAATGCACAAAGATTGAGTCTCTTATTTATTGATCACTTACCTTCTGGAAATTCCCTCGATTTGAGCAGCTCTAAGAGCATCATGAATCATCAAACCACCGTTGTCCCAAGCCTCCAAGCGTTGCTTGTTGCTTCCAAAGAGAACTACTTTTTCCAAATATCTCACTTCAGCTTCCCCCAATTTGTTCACCTTTATCTGTTCCTTCAGAACCATCACAGGATTGAAGAACCAATCCAACAACTTGTCCTTTGGTCTGTTTAGATAGGTTATCTCGAAGTCTTCAAGTAGCAAGACACCACTTGAGTTGGCTTTGATGGAGAAGACAAGTGTTTGTAGAAGTGAATAACAAGGCAAGCCAACACCAACTATGGCAGCTTCATTGCCATTCTTCCCCCTCATCCATTCATAAAGGTCAGCAGCTGTAAGTACATTAGAATCCAATAACTCCTTGCCTCTCATCTCACAGTACCTCATCATGTTTCCCCATATCTGTCACATTATGATTTGAAAACATCAGAAAAGGTTGCTTTGATCACATAGTGAAATCACAATAAAAGCATAATAAGATCAGAAAGATGTCTTAAGTGTCCACACAGCATCTCAACATATGATGTTGCAATGAAGGAAATTAACAGAAGCTTTTAGATAACATATTTTCCTTTAGATATCTGATGGGTCAAATAAGAATATACATTTTCTTTTTTAACGTTTCATTGGTTCGCTATTCTGCAAAGGGCAGAGACATTTTAAGGCAAATCTAGTACATGGAATGGACTATATCAACCATATGTAAACTTCACAAGTTATTCAAGACAGCAATCAAGTTAGACATCAAAATCTTGAAACATATTCTTCTTTTTGGCCATTAAACCATAATAATAAAAATCTCAGAATCATGACTAGCTCAGACGATGGTATTTAGTACCTTTTTTTTTTTTTATTTGTTCTGTTTATTTATATTTTTTTCTTCATTAAGTAAGGTTTTTTTGGCTACCCTTATCATATACAAAGAGTCTATTTCTTGGTTTGACTCTGGAACATAGCATCCATATTCCATACTGCTACTTGTGTAATCTAAGCATAACATTTTGATCCTAAATTCACATTTTCTATTCATAGTGGCATGATTGGAGAGACTATTTTCCCTTGTTTTAAACCAACCTTACTAGACAAAGAATAGATTGGACCATTGGTGCTTGAAAGCTGCAAGTAGAGGAAGAAATACAAACTACTTGATCAACATCAGGTGAAAAACTGCATACCTGCACCATTTTTACTTCTTGAATAGTCTCCCTAACAGATCTTGAAGGAGCTAAGTTTGGCATAAACATTGCAGGTGGCTCCATAGATGTGTTTAATCTGCTTCCACTCACACTGTTTCCTTTCACAGATGATGATTGAGAACCCTTTTTCTTTCGATACTGGGGCCTGGCTGCAAGCAAATTGAATGCTGATGTTAACGGAATAAATGGAATATAGTAAAGAAGACGAATTGGGAAAATGTATACTTTGGCAAGAATGTCCCCTCTCGAAGATAGAGCCAATCATTTGTATATTCATCAAACTCAGCAACCATTGCAATCACATAGGCTAAACCTCTACGGAAAGATCTTTCCTACACCCACAAGAAGGTTGAAAGGTGAGATAAAATCAAACATTCAGCAAAGGTAATTGGGAATGTAGGACACAAAAAAGTGATCAAACTTCAAACCTGATATACTATAACAGATGCATAAAGTCCAACAAAAATGCTTGATAAAATAGCCAATAAAATGCTGGCAATGACAACTAGTGGCCACACAAATATTGTCAAACCAGCAATGGGGACGCAAACTGTTTCAAGGAATGGACCTTCTCTGCTAATCAAATCATGTAAAAGTCTGAACCAGCCCTTGAACAGTAGGTAGGGGCTCTTTACTATAGCAATTGCAGTGAAAAGAGGAATCTCGATTACTAGCCCCATTATCCCAACAATGATACATCCAGGAACATGAATTAACCTATAAAACAAGTTCCAAAGGTGAGTAATAGCCTCTCCTTTCATTAAATAGCTTGCAAATAGAAATTGCAATCCAAAATATACAATCAATATATAAATATGTTATATGTATTTACCTTTACTTTGAGTTCGAGTTAAAAGAAGAAAAAAAAACAGTTATCTTCACTTTTGAGTTAAAAAGGATATATTATATGAAAGAGTTTAATTTGTAGGCATTTCTACTCTCTCACCCAATTATAAATTATGATAGGTAGAACTTTTAAGAAAATTATCATACACAAATTATTGTGATGGGATAAAAATATAAAAAAATTATATACTGTTCCCTCATATATGAAACACTTGTTACAACTACATAAGAGTTTAATTTTGAATTATCACATAAAAGTCGATAAAACCTTTTAAAAATCATCGTAAGACTTCTAAAATAATTGTTACAAAACTCACTAATCTTGTAATAAATGAGCACTCAGTCAATCCATGATTACACTTTAAATGCATTCTAATTAAATTCATTAAATAAATGACCTCACGACCATTACCTTAGCCTCTGCCGCTCATCTGAGCCAGGTGATTCACGCAGTTCCTTTAGGTAACAGGGGAATGAATGGTAACACATATCTGCAAAATCCCTAACCACCGTGCAACTGCCTTTGATTGTGCCCCATGTTCCATCCTGAGTTCAATGAGAATACACAAAATGAACTAATAACTTCAACCATAAGCAAAAACATGCTAAAAAAAATAAAAAATTAACAGACAATCCTTAATCATGGCAATAACATCTTAGAAACTCACCACAATGCAGTGAGCAAATTTCTTGGACTCACAATCATGTCTGAAGGCCTCAAAAGTTGAAACCCAAGGGGTGAAAAAGCCATACCCCACTCCAACAAGAACGCTTCCAGCTATGCCTAGCCCCAACCACAAGCCAAACAAGCCAGGCAAAGCAATCAAAATAGCAGCTTTCAAGGGTGCATCAAACATATGAATCCTGCAAAGACAAATAAACCATCCACATGCATCATAGCATATAGAAATGCTGAATGAAATTCCATAGAGTAAAAAATTATGTTACTTCAAAAGGGTGTAAACAGTCCAAGCCACATGTGCAGGAAACAGCCCCAGAATCACCCCAACGTTGCCTATAATCAGAATCAGACAAGCAATAGGACCCACAACTATGCCTGCAGAATTTCAAGAAAATCTCAATAACCCATCACCCAAATTCACCTTAGATTTCACAAGCTAAAAAGAAAGCAAAAAGGGAAAGAAAAAATAATCTTTAGAAGTCAAGATTCAATCATGAACCACAAAGTGTGAAAAAGGGTAAAAGAAAAAAAGAGCACCTTTAAGGGCACCAAGGAAGAAAGCATAGAGGAACACAAAGACCACATATAAAGCCTTCATCCAACCTTCCATAGAGTCAGGAAAATCCATGCCAGTAAAGGATCAGTTTAGGAACATGAAGAAGTTTGCAGCAGAAGAAAGAAGTTGAAAGTTGTAACCGAAATTGGAATGAGGCTTTGAATGCATATGAAGAAAATGAATTTGGAAAGTCAAAGGAAAACAGAGGTGTTCAGTCAAAACAAAATTGCAAAAGGGAGAAGAAGAAGGCGTGCTCTACAAGAAGATGACAAAATGAGAAAAACGAAACCTGAAACTCAACATAAAAGCAAATCAATCATTCAGGATGTTGGAAACCAAAAAGTAACAACAAGCACGGAAATGCAAGGACAAATCGGAGGCTGCTGACAGTGACTAGATATAGAAATAATACTAAAATTTATATAATTAATTTATACAAATCACAATACATAAAATTTCATTGGCTGTTCTTCATTATTACATATAATATAAAGAAAAAATATTTTAACAATTAAAAAATTATGAAGACGTGATATCATGCCACAATATAAAAGTGTATTTGTTTGAGTTGTTTCGTATTATCTTGACCTGACCTCTATGGTTTTGTTCCTATTAGAGGAAAAAATAGCTGAATGTTGTGATGCCTCAACAAACAGGCATCTGGGGCAGTTTTTTCTGTCAAGCAATGTGTGCTAGGCATTCACACAATATCCAAAATACCACAAAATCAAGTTATGCATATCATTTGGGTTTAGTCGTATATTTTTTTACAATGCTTTACAATTCTGCGAGTTTTATTATCCAACTATTTTATTTGTATATATTTTATCACTAAATTTTAAATTTTCGTACATTTTATTATTTCAATTGTTTAAAGTTTAACGTAGTTAATTGATTATAGAATTATTGATTGTCAACGAAATAATAACCGTTAACCTGAACACGGTGTAACATAGATGATGTCGTGACTGTGCATATGACTTATGTGACAAGAAAAATAAATTACACATTTTGCAACAAAGTTATAATTTCACACATTTTTTATCACACAATTAATTAGCAAAATTACGTCATATTATATACAAACTATTTATTTATATAACATTAAATTTCTTATATATTCCTTATAGAATAGGCAATTAAGGATATAAATTGAGATAATTTATGATTATTATTATTTTTAAAAAATTATAAAGTATTTTTGAATATTGATTAATTAACAAATTTGTATCATGTTGTATAAGAAAAATATTTATTTATTTATATATTTGTTAGTATATATATAGATATTACATTAATAGTATTAATTGCTTTATTAATATTTATTTTAATGTTTAAATCACTTTTTTATATTTATTAATTTCTTGATATTATATTAGCGCGCGCACACACACATATATATATATATATATATATGTTTTAAATTTTGTTTTATAAATTAATAATTAAATAAAAAAATTGTGTCATAGACTACACAAAGAATATCTACTTATTTATATAAATATTGTATTAATAGTATTGTCAATATGACACATCATCGGTTTACACATCATTATTAATGTTTTGATAATAATGTGTCATGTTAATAGTAATATATAGTTAATCAATGATGTTAAAAAATCAATTAATAAAATAACAAAATGAATAAAGTTTTACAAATTAGATGATAAAATATGTAAATAAAATATTTAAATGATAAAATTCACAAATTTGTGAAATATAAATGACAAAATACGTGGTTAAGTTTTTCGTTTTCTTTGTATATTGAGTTTTATTTTTATGCATTTCTATATACTTGCTTTCTTTTTTTGACAAAAGCATGTCTATATACTTGTAAAAGACTTTTTCATGGAGATAAATCGTCATTTAGTATTAAAAATGGTGTAAAAGTGGGTGTGTATGTAAAAATTAAAATTCTTCATTTATTTTAAAATTAATCAATAATTTGTTATTTATAGGTATTGAGAAAACTTCAAGCCCCACATCGACTAGAAATTAGATAATTAAATAGTATATAAGTGGAAAACAACTCTTACCTTACAAGTCAATTTTGTAGGATTGAGTTAAGCTCAAATCTACTATTCTTAGATAGTAACAAAACTATCTAGATCCACTCTAAATAGACTACCCACCATTGATACATGCACCATGAGAATGAGGGGGTGTATTGAGAAAAAACTCAAGTCCCGCCAATCTAGATCATTAAAAAGGGTCACTCCCTATTTATCTACGTACCAAGTCCAATAGTGTTAGACGTAGGTGAGGAGGTGTATTGAAAAAAACTCAAATCCCATATCGACTATAGATTAAGCAATTAAATAGTATATAAGTGAAAAACAACTCTCACCTTATAAGCCGATTTTGTAAGGTTGAGTTAGGTTCAAATCCACTATTCTAACAAATATTTTTTTTTATTGCATTATAGGTGTATGTTTAACACGTGATAATTGTAATCAATTTAATCTTAATGAATGGTAAAATAAATTTATTATCAATCAATGTATCATTTAATGAGTTTGATTATGTTTTATACTCACGTACATGTCGAGGGTAATTGTTTAAGAAATTAATAATAATTGACGCTAACCAAGAAAATAATTTTACAAATAATATTATTAAATAAAGTGAAATTGATTGAAATTTTATTTATGTACCTGTTTGAAGGGCACACTAGTAATCTTCTCGTATCCTGAGGGTCGAATGAGAACTCCGATCGAATATTCCGGTGAGGGATACTTGTAAAAGGCACTTCGACGCTCAAGTCAGGACAAAACACAAATATCGATGGTAATTAATGAACAGTGACGTTACCTCGTGACATGAACTATTTATACTGACATTGATGGGGCCGGACTCCCATGGACCCTGCAACAGGTTTACCATATTAGGTAATGCGTCTCTAATCGGCTTATTGGTGCGATTAGCTCTTAACTCCTGATTAGGGGGTAATCCTTAATTCTTGATTATGAGGGATCTGAGCTTGTGGATCATCTGGTGGCCAATCAACAGTCGGCTACTTGGTTCAGCCATTCCAGTGCTGATTGGGTATCGGCCATCTGGTGATCGAATGGTCTCACTAGTACAATTTATATTTAAGATTAACTTACATGTTTTTTTTCTTCTTCTTCATATATTAGAATCCAAAAAGAGTATTTTTATAAGTTTTAGGAAAATTTATTTTAGATATAGATTTTTAAGAGACAAAAAATTTTAATTCTTGAGAAACATATTAAAAGATATTTAGATAGTATTCCAAAAACATTTATCCTAAATATTTAAATATATTTTTATTTACCAAAAACACCCAAGGAGCCATATCAACCAAAATAACCTTAGATTTATATCTACCCTTATTTATTTTTTAAGGAAAAAGAACTGCCTTTGTAAGCAAAGTCAAGGGCCATAAGGAAAAAGAACTACCTTTGTAAGCAAAGTCAAGGGCGAGAAGGTCAAAGAGAAATATACATAAACCAATAGTAATAGTAATACCAATATTAAAATGCCTTACTTAACAGCTGGTTTATTATTAATAACGGGTAGCTAGCTGGCATGAGTTCTGGGATTCTTTTTCTTCTTTTATAGGACTTTCTATGTTTATGATGATTATGTGCTACAATATCATCTAGAAGATCATTCTAATTGGTTCAAAGAATGACCCACGTACAAATATGAAACCTGAAGGAGCAAGTCAACTTGGTGCGTTGTAATTGGTGTGGAGGAATCTTGAAGAGGCTTCAATGTCATTTGTCACAAATGGTCTATCCTTTTAGTCATTTAAGGAAGATTTTATTCTGCTTCACTCCATAGTATGATGTCGACATGGCTTCGATTTTGTAGTCATGGTCACAATATATAATTGATCATCTGTATAATTCAAACTTGGGCTGCCAAGATTGAAAGCCAGCAACCCATGGGTCAACATATGTAGCCATCATAGTTTATCAGTTCGGTTTTGATGTTACTCTCACTTCTCACTTTTGCTATTATTATTATTTTTTTCTCTCTTTAATTTTGTTGATTTCTTTTTGTATCCATGAGAATAGAGTTCAGTTTAGTATTAAGAGTATTTCTTTAATCCATTATTTATTTCAATAGATTTTAAAAAGTGAGAAGTATAAGAGAAAAGAAATATTAGAGAAAATTAAACTTTTAGGTGCTTGAAAGGTGAGAAAAATGAGAGAAGAGAGAAAAAGGTGGTGAAGCCTATGGTAAAAAAAAAGAAGAAAACTCTTCATATATGAAGATATTATATATATATATATATATGTAACTTAGCAAAATTGTGAGATCCACAAAAAAAATGTGTTTTGTTATCATCTTCTCTCCTACTCCTTTCAATCTAAACATCCTTAACATCTACTAATTCTCTACTTCTTTCTATCCTCCTCTTTTTTTATACTTTTTTCATTACTCAAACAAAGCATAATTATTGAGAAGTATAAATGTTTCTTTCTTATTATACATTTTTTAAAAGAAAAATTATCATTGACTAACTGAAAAGTTCAAATCATTTTATACTTGTGTACTCACTCAATTATTGGTATTAACATTGACGTAAAAAGAGATGTGTATTAACAGTTGAGAAAAAAAATCTCTTATACCAATTTAAAATTACAAACAAATGGTTAAAATAGGCTTATTTATAAAAAAAATATTAAAATGGGATTAATTTTTTCTTCTCATATCAAAATTAATAAATCACGTAACGGTTTTTAGCGGCATGTGATTTTTTAATTTTTACTTTATGAAAAACTGGGTCACATGTTATGTGAGGATTGTTACTCCATTTCATACAATCTAAAAGTATCTACTAAATTAAAGATATAAGGTGACATGTTACTTTGAACATGATTCATTTTTTTTTAAAAAAAAAAAATTCCATATGGTTTAGCAACTTCCACGTGGAGACTTCTTAAAAAATTAAAAATAATAATAATAAAATATTATACAATGACACTGGTCTTCCTTCACAAAAGTTTTGATAGAAATTTCTCTATATCATGGTATTTTTCTCTAGTTTTTTTTTTTTAGCTAGAATGTCATGATTAGCAAATCAAAGTCTCTTGAGCCTCATTCTCACGTCAATACACTCAATTATTGGTATCAAGGTCATTCTCTTGTTAAAGCAATAGTTCAGAGAATTGAAGTTTCTTTATCTTATTATTCCCTCATTTTTGCTTTCAATTACATAGGTTACACATGTTGCAACAATCACATATTTGACAACCAACAAACTCTTAATCTTTGATCACACTTTAATAGTACCATCAACATTTCGACATGTGAAATAATCTTTGTTCACACATTGTTAATTATGATGTATAATTTGTCCATGA